CGTTGATACGTTGACCTACGTCACGCAGTTGAAAGCACATATGTCGCGCCTTCCTTATCACTCACCAACATTGTCAAACAGAGTACCCTATATTCCCCTTGATCTCTCCTCATGCAAATACGATTTTTTGCGTTCCGATCAGGTCAAACATCCTTTACTACCTCCGTATAATGGCCCCTTTCCGGTGCTTGCTAGACATCAGAAACATTTTACAGTACAGTTACACAACAGAACGGATAAAATAGAAACATTTTACAGTACATTTACACAACAGAACGGATAACATAAGCATTGACCGTTTGAAACCAGCTTACATGGATTTTCTCGATCCTTGCACTACAGATAACGACAAGCCCGAAAATTCCACGACGATACCCAAGACTCCATCAGACACAGATTCCAAGAGCACACCTTCACGAATCACACGCTATGGCAGACACGTACACTGGCCAGACCGTTTCATCGCAAGCTGACATTATCTATTTCATCACAATGTGACACGCCGAACGTCCAAGCGACTATTTATTATTTTTGTATTTCGGAACCATTGTAGCAGTTGCCCACCTGGATAGTGCATCCACATCCACTATCTCCCTCGTGCTTTGTTTTGTTCCATATCCCACAACGTGCACCACCAGATAAGACGTGACTTGTCTGGATCGATGACAGCGCCTAGATGATCCCTCTCTAAAGAGAGGAGTATTTGTAACACTTACCCTTTGCTTAATTACTCCTCTAACCACCGGTACCTACTACCCCCCCATTCCATTTCGTCTGTCTCACAATCACCCATCAAAATCGTTACATGAATACGGCAATATGTCAACTCCCGTGCCATGACCTTTTGAACGACACCAGGTGATTTCACGTTGTTTTCAAGTCCCACTCATTGCAACGACCTATATAAAGGATAGAATATATTCGAGCACACACACGCATCACACACGCATTGATCGCGCGTCGGAACACAGACCGGCTGGACACAACAACAACCGCGGACTACTAGGAACGTGTAGCAGTGAATCTGCCGAAAAAACACGATTACCTGCGTCCAAACCAACTCAGTGTAACTATTATAACTTCCGCTCAGAACGATAAGTCCCTCATTTGTGCATTCCGTTTTTGGTGTTGTATACGACTCGATTAAGATGTTGTAACCTAACACTCTTATAACAAATTTTATTAGTGTCGCTTTCTAGACTTCTGATTTATCTAGTGGCTTTTGTTGTTAACAAGAGAGAACAGTAATAGACTTTTTTTTAACAAGTGAATATTTCTCTATCCTCGGGGTCACTTGTAACTGGTTATGGTGATCTGACGGACGGAAAAAAGATTTCCAATATATCCTACCGAGATGATATGAAGCTGACAGATCATTTTTTGGGCACGTATCATTCACTGTGTGGCTCAAATTCATCGGCTACCTCACAGAATTGAAGCATTGCATGAGTCTCACAAATTTCTTCTTTGGCAGCATGTGGTTACTATGTTTCCATCAGTCTCCAATGTTAAGAAGCTGAAATTTTCTATCTTGCGTGTTTCATATATTCAAAGGACTCTGCAGTCAGCCCTCCCCACATCCCCCATCCTTGGCCGGAAAATGCTGTTTTCTGCAAACCCTTTCCTGCTGAACCAAAAATCTTTTGAAAAAAATGCTGTTTTGTTGTATGTATGCACACCCAAAAATTATTCTAACCTACCTTGTTCTGTCGAGGTGTTTTTAATTGATCTATATACTTTGTTATCGGAGCGCACTGGATTTAGAGCCTGCTGCGCTAAGGCTTCAGAAGCGATTTGAGATTTTTGTTGAAAAATTGGGGCTGTCCACTCTTCATACATCACAGTAATTTATATTTGGTAAATTAGTTTGCCCACGTGGTTGGCACTTTTTCAACCGATCGTTGATGTTGGGCACATGACGAAAATTGACCACCCCGATTTACGTGCATAGCCCGTTTGCAGCTGATGTATAATCAGTCGGCCGTGAAATCAGAGACAAATCGTGGGTCGGTGCAGCGCGGAAACTGCAGGTCTTGTCGGAATCCTCGTCCATAGTATCTTGGAATAAAAGACACGAAGGCAAATTCATACGTACGTGCTTCTTGAGAGCCTTGCGAATGTCAGAATAGCATATCGTATCGTCACGGCCAAATAAGACTCTAACCAACAGCATTTGAGCGGCCAAGTTGTCCACGATGAATGTATGCACTCGAAATTGCTGGAACAGCGCTATCTGCTGCCATATGGAGGAGCGTATCTGGCTTTATTGACCTTCCCTCACCTGCAGCAACAGCACGCGTCAGGACTGAAAATGATTCAAAAGGAGCAAAGGAACATTATTAACCACAGTAAAACCCACACATCCTTCATTCACTCAACAGAGATGGTCAAAGCTTCTAGCGTTAGTTGCAAATGTCCTGAATTGTAAGGACCTTGTTGAATTCATTGGCCTCATACTGCAGCACTTAACACGACAGCGTTTTGCAATTCAGCATAGCCCTGCGGGCGCCCAAATTCCCTTCGGTTAACCGTCGGTTTGCCAGAACCAGATCACACGAAAACTTGAACACCTTATAATCGTGCTTGAGATCACAAGTGGTGGCCGAGAGTGGGGGTCGGTGATTCCAGAACTATTTTTGGCAGCAAAAGTGCTCCGCTTCCTGCAGCCGCCGCAGGCCATTGACACGCCGAAATTGAGTTCGCCGAAACTATAGGGTTTTCGAAGTTGACATTTTTATGTGAAGTTAGTCTAATCAATTTGCACCCTCCCGTGACATGTTGCACGTAGCATTTTGTTTAAGTGAGCGAAATGTCAAGGTCATTGACCATCGCCGATTTGGATTTTTTGCCGGTTTACGCGACATAAAACAGGAAATCGCACTTTAGCATATTTTGGCGTTCCGCGGTGTTCCTGAGGAATAAAAATAACATCTTAAGAGTATTTAATACAGATGCCACCCTATAGGATCAGTCGCAGGCGTTTGTTTGCTTTAGACACGTCAGATTTAACCAATGGGATATTTTAGTTTGTTCACAAGATATTTTCCCCATGGATCTCGTGTTCCATAAGTGCAATAAAGTTAGATAACAGCACAAACTTGCAGTGGCAGTGCGAGGGACACCTGTGGGTGATCCCCTTTCCCGGATATGCATAGCTAGCTTGTAGATAATACAGTGCTGCCAGAATGCTGTGGGCGTCTTTCCTATTATAACTATGACGTTCTATAGATGGTGACCACCAATCATGAAGCGGTCACCACGATGACGGTAGCCTCCTCGACTACCTATTGTAGCTGCTGATTCCGTGTCTATGTGCGACGCTAATTAGGGTTCCCCACATATGCGCGGCAGCCCAATCCATTGAGCAACGACGGCCCCCTGTACTCGTATCTCTACTAGTTTTCACTCATCTCGAATGCTTGTTGTAACTGCTAGGCTCGCGTTTATGTGCAACGTTGATAATGAGACTGCACCTATGCACCGATGGTCAATGACGGTCTTGTATACCGTTAACTATACGCGATCCCGCTTGTCTTCGCTAGCTACAGTAAACATCAGTACAATTTATATGCCGACCGGTAAAAATAAGGCCTCAGCTATGCATGATAGCCACATCTGACAGCCTGTTATACACACAACTGGACTCGAGGTCATCTAACTTGGCTATTGATCGTACCTGTTGAGTCAGTGTCCTTGTACATACATACCTAATCTAATGGCGACCGATTAACCAAATACTCAAAACTGTACGCGATATCGTCTACCTTGACTACTTATTGAAACTGGTAGGCCAGTGCCTATATGCGACTCTGTTTAGTAGGCCTGGGCTATGCGTGACGTCTTAACGACCAACGGCTGCCCGTCATACTCGTAACCGCACTTGATATCGCCTACCCTGGCTGCTTATCGTAATTGCAGCAACTGAGTCTATGTGCAACGCTTAGTATAAAGCTGAGGGTCTTTCATACTATACGCGATGCCGCTTATCTTCGCTACCTACAGTAAACATCACTCCAATATATATGCCGACCAGTATAAACAGGGACTCAACTATGAGTGATAGCATAATCTGACAGCCTGTTATACTCACAACTGTACTCGAAGTCACCTAACTTGGCTATTCATCGTCATACTCATACTTACTCGATGCCGTTTATGTTTGCTACCTTCAGTAAACATCGCAACTGTATTTGACGTAACCTACGTGACTACCTATAGTAACTGCCAGGCCCGCACACATGCTCGTAGCTAACCATAATGCCCCGACAACACATAATAGACTAACCCAACGATCAACGGTGGTCATCGCCTGTCAAAATGCAATCACCACCCATTTTGATAGCGCGCTCCCAAATCCTACTCTTGATTGTACCCCCTCAACCACTCCCTCCATTACCCGAAACAATGAGCTGTCGTTCACCTCGGCTACTTAGCGTAACTGCTATTCGCGACGCAGATAATGGGGCCTCACCTATGCACAGCAACGTAATACAATCGCCAACGACGGCGCTCCATACTCATAACTCCACGCGTTGATAATGCGCCCGCCATGGATTTACGAAAACACCATTGGCGAATTGCATTTTATTCATTGGCATCACTGATACAAGCTTAATTGGTAGTCGCTCCATTTTTCATGTTCTTAAGATCCACTTCACGGGACAAGGATTCTGAAACGGAAAATGGGCAAGCAATTAACCTTCTGGAACAGCACTTAAGCATCTGGATGTAATGGAATTTTATTTGTTTGCTTACCTAGTGGTTCATAATTCCCATTACCGTGATGAGGGATAAATGTATAGTCGTTGCGGATTGCCATGGGTTCATTGATTCGGCATTTGAGGCCTTCGAGTTACAATCACACGAATTCCTCGTCATCACGGGATTCGAAAGCGAGGTCTGCAAAGCGTATGCTAAGAAATTAGGCCTCAAATTACCGGTCTCCATCAACTCCGAAATTGGACAAAACAGTTTGATTGCGACTGTCTTACGGGGCACACTCGGCTTGTCCTCCATGGACCGATCAAGATCAACATCAAAGCAAGCTCTTTTAGCTGAACGGTAGGTAGACTGATCGGCAACTAATGGGAATAGTTTAATTTATACATGTGCACTCACTTGGTGGACGCGCCTGAAGATTTTCTCCACACAGCGGGCAGGGCTCATTGCCGCAGCAATAACGGTGATATGGAAGTCGATCACGTTGACACCACCAATCAGCAGGGTCAGTTGGCTGGCCACAGAGACCACAGGGAACAGCGTCGTTTGACGTCGAACGCCACCGTGGTTGTTTGCGGTTGCCATCTAACACCAGAGGCTGGTTGTCCTGTGCACTAATTGCATTTTGACGCAACATCAGCTGGCTTTGGACAATCAGACGCTTCATGCACCCAGCAGCCTTACGCGGATCCAGCAGCTTCAGTTTGCCAACCAACCGATCAAGCTGCTTGTGCAAATGCTCTATTGGTGATGGATCTGGCTTTGGAACCAGAGATAAAGGTACTCCTTCCTCCGGTAGGTTATATTCGGCAAGCCACCTTTGATGGATTGGAAATTGACCTAGACACTGCATGTTCGATCAATCAACTTACCGCATGGGAACGAGTGGCCTCTGAATACTGAAAATAGGTGTACACAAGGCAGCCACATTGATTGGTAAAATATGCACGTGCAGGTTCCGGCCGAGGTGTTTACTGTCTGAGAACATTTGGGGGTTTGTACCACAAACTGACTGTTACTAACAACGGGCTTCTCACCTTGAAGCGATCTGTCTGCTTGTATAGCAGATTTGGCGTGCATATTCCAATGTGCCTGAGAACCTGATTAGCGGCGTATGTCGTCATCCGGGAAACCACACGTAGAACGTAGATATCTCCCTCCCGAATTTCTCGACGGTCACAACAATAAGTGGTGTGCATTTCATATTCCCGCATTAGCCATTCGCTGTGATGAGCGACCTTCAGAACGGCATGCTCTAGGCTATCTGAGTGATGCACGCGCCTCTTCAAACGCCCGTTGGCGTTCTCCAGGCGGTTGTTGGTCACATTCCCAAAATGTACCAACCCACGTTGTGCATGAATGGCCCACTTTCGAGTGATGTGGAGCCAGTGGGCAGTCAAATAAGAGACAAAACTGGGATCTGTTCGCCTCAAGATTTGCAAATCGTGGCGAAATCTACGGGATTAGTGTTTGGTGCACAGTCACTTACTCAGCTGCATTATCAAAGCGAGCCATGCGGTGGAATATGTGTCGACTGTGGTTGGAAATTGTCTGCAAAAGTTACACCAAAGCTATGAAACATACGTGCTTCCGGATGGCTTGCCGTGCGTGAAAATAGCACAGCATTACGTCGCAGCCAAATACAGCTTTGGCAGCCCGCATCTGTGAAGTCATTTTGTCCATGACGAACGTTTTGACTGCATATTGTCCACCCATCATATCCTTGAACAAGCTGAACAGCTTGCGCAATGGCGCAAAATGCTCGCTTTCGACAAAGGCATACATTACGGGTCGACCGATCCCCATGCCATCTGTCACAAGGAATGTATAAAGCTTGTAACTTAACAGCGAACGTCAGTGGCTCGAAATTTATTTACCCAAGACGGTTAGTACCGTGTGTAGCATCAACGTTTACAACGTCCGGGAAACGTCTAAAGAGTGCTATCTGCTGCGTTCGAGAAAAGCACAGGTGACTATATCTGCCACCCTCCGATTCCACCAGCAGCACGCGACCGCACTCTCGAAACTTGGCTATGATGGACGACATGTCATCTAAGAAACCAACTAAAAGGTAACCAACGACCTACTTAACAATGGGGGTCGACACTTGACGCGATAGTTACGCACATCCTTGATAGTGAGTACCTTTCCAAAGTGGTCGGCGACGTACTGCCGAATCTCCGATGACGGAGCACCGTATTTCAAAAGGGTAGAACACTCCTTTAATTCATCATTTGTCAGTCGCCGGTTGATGGGGAGCCTGTCAAAAATAAACTTGCTGCGTGGATGGTTGTGCTCCAGGTAGTAGGAAGTAACCCTCAAGCAGTCATGGTACCGGCGAACGTGGAACCTTGCCGACAATCAGT